GTGGACAGGTTTCAGCACAGCTTCCAGACTAAGACAGATTGGGTAGAAGGGCCATCCACTGCTAAAAAAATTGGCCACTGAAAGCATTATGGATAGCAGTGAAACACTGATACATTACTGGAAACCTTATGAAAAGCCCTGAAACATTGTTCGACATAGTGCGGGAAAATGAGTCCCTCAGGTTGGAAGACATTCAAAACACAATTGGGGAAGAGCTGCTTCCTCCAAGTAGAGTTGACCTTAATGACATGGATGGAGTAAAACTTTTGGGATCGTAAAGATTACAGCCTAGAAAATCTTATGGGGCAGTTCTACTCTATAGGGTTGTCACGAGTTGGAGTACAATCACCAGCACACAAAACAACAAAGGGAAACTCTAGACCCATTAAGCAGTCACTCCCAACCCCTTTCTCCCAGCAGAAAGATGGCAATCACCATCTTTCTGTCCATGGATTTGCCTGTTCTGGACATTCCACATAAATGCAATAATAAAATATATGGCCTTCCCTCTGGCTTTCATTTAGCATAATGTTTCCAACATCAATCTACATTGTAGCTTGTATCAGAACTCCGTTCCTTTTTATGGCTGAATAATATTCCATCGATTGGAACAATTTTTTGTAATTCCAGAAAGATTGGAAATAATCCACATGTCTACCAATCGAAACTTGTTAAAGATTATTGAATGGCTACAGGATGGAATACTATGCAGCTGTTAAAAAAGAACAAAGCAGTTCTCTACGTCATAGTTCTCAAACAGTGATCCCCAGGCCAGCAGTATCAGCATGCTAAAAATGCAAATTTCTAGGCCCCTCCACAGATCTGAATCTGATATTCTTCAGGGTGAGCCCAGTAATCCGTATGCTAGCAAACCTTTCAGTTGATGATGACGCCTGCTCAAGGCTCTCTCTCTATATAGCCCAGTGGTCAGAAACCTTGGGGCAATTTTTAAAAAACATCAATGTCTAGGTCTCATCCCCAGAGAGTCCAATGCAGTTGACTTAGACCAGGCTTTGAGTATGGAATCTGCAATCAGAAGTGACTCTAAAGTGCAGAAGGAGACCTGGTGGCACAGTGGTGAAGCATTCGGCTGCTAACCAAAAGGTCACCAATTCGAACCCACCAGCTGCTCCACAGGACAAAGATGAGGCAGTCTACTTCTGTAAAGATTTACAGCCTTGCAAACCCTATGAGGCAGTTCTACTCTGTCTTATAAGGCCACTGTGAGTCAGAATTGACTTGATGGCAAGAATTTGGTTTGGTTTAGGTCTAATTCGAAACCAGGAATGTGAACCACTGATACGGAGTAGATGTAGAGTTTCCTATGGCTGCTGAAACAAACCGAGTGGCTTATAAGAACAGAAATGTCTTACAGTCGGGAGCTAGGAATTAGACATCAGGGTGTCAGCAGTGTTGATTCCTTCTCAGGGCTCCAGGGAAGAATCTGTTCCATGCCTCCCTTCTAGCATTTGGTGACAGCTGGTGATCCTTAGCATTCCTTGGTTGTGGATGTGTCACTTCAATTTCTGCTTCTGTCTTCACATAGCCATCTTCCGTCTGTGTCTCTTCTCTTTATAAGGACAACACTCGTTGGATTAGGACCCATCCTACTGCAGCACGACTTAATGTTTATTTAACTGATAACGTCTTCAAAGACCCTATTTCCAAACAAGGGCATGCTCATAGGTACTGGGGATTAAGACTTCATATCTTCCAAGGGGGACACAATCCATAATACATAGTAAACTTCCAGATAGACTGAGTGCAAAAAGCGAGGTGCAGAAGTCATGTTCCTTGCAGGATTGTTTGTAATAGCTACGAATGGGATAACTCAGATATACAGTTGGGGGTATCGTCTTCTAGTGCTACTATAACAGAAACACTGCAAGTGTTAATTAACAGAAATTTATTTTCTCAGAGTTCTGGAGGCTAGAAGTCTGAAATCAGGGTGCCAGCTCTAGGGAAGGCTTTCACTCTCTCTGTGTCTGCTCTGTGTCTAAAGAGCTTTGCCTCTTTAGTGTCTGTCTCTTGGCTACTTGGTGATCTATCTTCTTGTGGCCTGGGTCTATCTTCCCCTATCTCTGCTTGCTCACTTGCTTGTTGAATCTCTTTTATAATTCAGATTAATTTAAGACACACCTCCATGAGTACTGACTTGTTAGCATAACAAAGATAACCCACTCCCAGATGGGATTCTAACCACAGGAATGGGGTTAGCATTTACAGCACATATTTTCTGGGGACACATTGCATCCATAACAGGTATGCATGTGCACTGGACCACTCTTCAGTGGTGAAAATGAAGGAATGCGGTGAGGAGGAAAGGAAGTGTTCAAAGGATGCGCACAACATGTCTATTGAATTTCGGACACGGAACAATTTTATGTTTGGGGACTAGAATCCATAAATTCGGGGCCTAGGGAGAAATAGAGAATGAGTTTCACTTATATCTGTCATCTTTTCTCTCAGCCTGTATCATTAATATGAGGGTGTTTGTTATGTCTTTGTCTGTACTTATCTATACTTATTTGGGGGAGCTCTGGTAGCATAGTGCCTAAGGCCCTTGACTGCTAACCAGAAGGCTGGTGGTTCAAACCCACCAGCCATTTCTCAGAAGGAAGGTGGGGCAATCTACTTCTGTAGTGATACTGCCTCGGAAACCCAAGGAGGGGTTGCTATGAGTTGGGTCCGACTCACTGGCACAACAACAACAACATATACTTATTTGGATTTCTCTGGAAATCTCTTCCTGGAAAATCATGAAGCAGAACAAGGGTGCAGTGGCTTTTGGTTGTGTTTAAAAACAAGGGCATAAGGGACAAGAATGTATCAGTGTATATAAAAAGGTCACAGTGGTTATTTCTGGGAGGGAAAAGTGGCTTCTGCTTCAGGGGCGGGGGAGACTTTTTCCCTTTTCTTAAATTTCTTTTTGAACAGCAATCCACGAAGGCAGAGTAAAAGTAACTGTAAACTACAGAGTGAAGCCCACACCTCCATCTGCCCATTCCACACTCCTGCTCAACAGAAAACCCTTCTGGTCTTTTCAACACACAGATACAAGGAACTGTAGTTTTATACTCTTATTCCCCTTCCCCAAAAAAGGTCAACAGAGTAGACACCTTGTTCTGATCGTTTTTGCTGTTGTTAGTTAGTACTTTTTATTCGATATCTTGCCATGTTGGGACTCAGAGGTCCTGTAGTCTTCTGTACAGTTGCGTAGTATGACTGTGCTCGGTGAGTTTGGAGAAGAGCGAAGAAGCGGTGTGGATGGAGCCAAGCGAGCGGGGAGAGGGGAGGAGAAGAGGGCAGGGAAGGGCGGGAAGACCTTGAGAAGCTTTGTGGTCTGCGGGGAGGACATGGCCTTGCCTCCGGTGAGCTGTGAGCCCTGGAGGGTTCTGAGCAAAGGAGGAACCTGATCTGACTCAGGTGCTCACCGTCGCCCTCTGCCGCTGCGGAGAGAACAGAGGGGAGGGATGAAGGAGGAGCAGGGAAGACCGGGGTCCAGGCGATTGCGCTGGTCCAGGTGGGAGAAGATGGGGGTGTGACCAGGTGGGGGCGCCGAGGGGGTGAGAAGTGGGAGGAGTTTAGGTAGATTTTGTTGCAGCTCGGACTCGCTGCCATATCAGATGGTGGGGAGGGTCAGAGAAACACCATCAAGGACATGCGAAAGTTGGGCCTGTGCACCCTGCAGGACCCATACCTTTAGCTGGGTCGAGGAAGACACGGGAGGGCAGCTTGGGGGGCTATCTGGACCTGGGATGTGGCAGGGTTATTTGGGAGGCATCCATGCACACACCCAGGTGGGGCGTCTGGACCACAGGTGTCCTGGACAGGTCGGCTGCGCAGTGCCCAGAGCCGCCGCCTGAGGGCGAGCGCGCCCCGTGGCGCTCCAGCCCAGGGGGCGGGGCGCGGGAACCGCTGAACCCGTTGCTTCTCACCGCCCCGCGCGCGGCCTCGCAGCGTCTCATCTGGGTGCGAAATGGGGGACACCGAGGTGCCAGGTCCCGGTCCAGACCCCCCAGGCGCCTCCTGGGCCCCAAAGCCTGGGATGCAGCTGCCACCTCTTCTAACGTCCAACTCCCAGCCCCCTCTGCCTTTGGTGTTCCCACCACCTCCAACATCATCTCAAGTCTCTGCAAAAATGCCACGCCTCCAACACCATCCCAAGTCTCTGCAAAAATGCCACCTCCTCGGACAGGCCTTCTCCGACCACCCTGGGGATAGAAAACCCCTCCAACCCCTCTGAGGCACACCCCATTTCAATATCTTCTTAACCCTCAACACTCTGAACACCTCTTTTCTGTTTTCCCCACCACAATATACAATCTGACAGTGTGGACCTGTTTTCTGTCTTACCCTCTGTATCCTCAGGGCTCAGATCATGCCTGGTCTATAATAGGTGCTAAAGAAAAAATAAAAACAGCAATTCTGTTAATCATAGCTGAGTCATGTGCTTACTACATATCAGCCTCTGTTTTAACCCTTTTCTAGAAATAGTCTCACTGAGTTCTTGGAACAACCTGTGAGGTAGGTTCTGTTATTAGCCCCACTTCACAGAAGAGGAAGCTGAGGCCCAGAGAGGTTAAGGAACTTTCCCAAGGTTGCATAGGCAAGGTTGTGCAATGCTGGGATTCTAACCCAAAAAGCCTGAGGTTTTGCTAAATGAAAGTATGGAGGCCCAGGACCAGGAAAACATCCCCTAAAAGGCCTCAGGAATTGTGCTCCTCAGTGTCTTGTCCCTCGACCTACTTTTCCTGGTCCCTACAGCCCACACACCCTCAGGCCCAGCCCCCCCCTAGGCTGAGAGGCGGGGTGGGAATCCAGCAGGGCCAGGTTTACATTCCTCGCCCTCAGGAGGCACCTCCCACACTGCCCAGGTAGGGGGCAAGCAATGTAAAGAGGGTCTGGAGGGCTCAGGCTCCATTCACCAGACAGCAGGATCCACTGCCCAGGACCCTGAGCCCAGTCCCAGACTGATGGACAGACAGATGGACAAGCAGATGCTCCTTGGCCAGCTGACCACTTTTCTGTGCCTGCTCAGCGGGGCCTGGCTGCCCACAGGCTTAGGCCTGGAACTTGTACCCCAAGGTCTCTCGCTTAAGCCCTGGGCTACTGCCAATAGGACCTGGGCTCTGAGCAGAGAGGCCTCGGGCCCCCAGATGCCAGCCTCTGCCCTCAGCAGCTGGAAGGCCTTCTTGGGCCTGCAGAAAACCAGATGGCTGGAAACCATGCAGAGTAGGAAGGGGGTGGCCACTGCCACCACTGTGTCTCTGCCACTGGACCCACAGGAAGTAGCCCGGGAGACATGCAAAGCCACGCCCTTTACTCAGGTGAGCAGGTGCTGGGGGGGGCGTGTCTCAGTGCAGGCACAGAGTATAAGCTTAAGCCCTGGACAGGCCTGGTTTCAATTCCTGCTTCTTCCACTTCGATGGTTGTGAACCTCAGTTCCCTCCTTTGTGAAATGGTGCCTAGTCCTTTCCCTCCTGGGCCAGTGTACTCACCTGCACCCCATCTCTGGGTTTCTGCTCTTGGCAAGCCCTAGGCTATTTTCCATTTACCAGCCAGAGGGCGCCCGTGAACACCTGAGTCAGGTCAGGTTTCTTCTCTGCTCAGAACCCTCCAGGACTCCCACCTCACTCAGAGCAAAAGCCCTCGTCCCCCTCAGGGCACACAAGGCCTTGCACACTCTGCCCTGATCACCTCTGCCCTCTCCCCTCACTCACTCCACTTCAGCCACACCAACCTCCTCCCTGTTCCTGGGATGCATCAAGCTTATACTACCCCAGGGCCTTTGCACTGGCTGTTGTCTTTGCCTTGAGCATTCTTCCCCAGACATCCTATGGTTCCTTCCCTCACCTTCTTCAGGTTTTTCTCAAACATCATTTGTTTAAAAATGTAGTACCTCCATGCTGTTCCCCTTCTTCTGCTTTATTTTTTTGTAGCACACAGCTTTACCTAACATTTAAAAAATGAATTTATTATAAACTGACTTTGGAATTGCTTTTTCCCTCTGTCTCTTTCACTAGCATATCCATCTACTCCACCAGGGCAAGGATTTTTATTTATCTTTTTCACTGCTGTGTCCTTGCCCCCAGGTCCTCTAGCAGAGCCAGGCACAGAGCAGGTGCTCAGTAAGTGTTATTTGAATGAATAATAGTTGTGCCGGCCTCCTAAGGGGTGGTGGGCAGCTGAAAGGAGATGGGCATAGGGAGCTCACAGCTGAGGTTAGTGGCTGCTCATGGGTGGGGAGGCTTGCAGGAATTTCTATGGTGCACTGGTTAAATGCACCTGGGTTCAAATTCTGCATTAACTTCTGATTTCTGTGCGACCCAGGACAAGTTGCTTCTCTTCTCTGAGCCTCAATTCCCACCGCAGGGAAATGGAGCTAACAGCAGTGGGGACCACACCTGGAAGGGGGCTCAAAGTCAGAAAGACTTTGCCCACAGGCCGTGTGATGCCCGGGTGATTGCACGGCTGGGAGCCTAAACCCCGCTGCTCCCGTTTACCAGCTCCAGGGCTGCTCCACACAGCTGCACACGATGCACCCAGCAGAAGGGACCCCAGGCCTCGATCCAGCGGTGCACCCTCACCCAGAGCTGCAACCATCCCAGAGGGGTGCTGTCTTAGTTATCCAATGCTGCTATATCTGAAATACAATAATGGGTGGCTTTAGTGAACAGAAATTTATGTTCTCACAGATTAGAAGGCTAGCAGTCTGAATTCGGACCATGGGCTCTAGGAGACTTTCTCTCTGTGTCTGCTCTGAGGAGGAAGGCCTTGGCTCTTTCCAGTTTCCGTTCTTTGGGGAATCTTCATGTGGCCTGGCATCTATTTTCTGCCATCCCTGCTTGTTTAATCTGCTCCTTTGTATCTCCAAAGAGATTGATTTCAGACACACCTACACCAATACTACCTCATGAACACAACAAAGAAACCCATTTCTCAAATGGGATTCTGACTACTATGAGGGTTAGGATTTACAATACACGATTCAATCCATTGTTGTTGTTAGGTGTCATCAGGTTGGCTCTGACTCATAGTGACCCTGTGTCCAACAGAACGAAACACTGCCCGGTCCTGCGCCAGCCTCACAATCCTTGCTATACCTGAGCCCATCATTGAAGCCACTGTGTCAATCCATCTCATTGAGGGCCTTCCCCTCTTTCACCAACCCAACACTTTACCAAGCATGATATCCTTCTCCAGGGAATGGTCCCTTCTGACAACATGACCAAAATAGGTGAGACGAAGTCTGGCCATTCTTGCTTCCAAGGAGCATTCAGGCTGCACTTTTTCCAGGACAGAATTCAGTCCATAACAGTGCCTTTTGCTAATCAGCACAAGCACGCCCTCACGGCTAGCAGCACCCTCAGCGTCTGTCTGATTTGGGGCGAGGGACTCCTCTTTGCTGCCGTTTCCTCATCTGTAAATGGGGTTAATAATAGGACTGGCATTACAGTGTCATTGGGAGGCTGAAGATTAGTCTGAGGAAGGTGCTTGGTACAGATCCTGGCATGGGATCAATAAATGTCACCTCTAATACCTGTTGGGGTTGTAGCCATAAAGAAGACAGAGAAAGTTCCTGCCTACAGGAAACTTATGTTTTAGGAATAAAAGAACAGACATCCCAAAGGGCCATAACTATAAATTACAGTGAGCCCCATGAAGAAAGAGAGTAAGGTACTGTGGGAGTGACCACTGTTGGGGGGCATAATTTCCTTTGCAGGCACCTGTAGGAAGGAAAGATGAGTTGGAATGAGTGTGGGGAGGGATGCATGGAACACTGGTCCAGGTGGAGGGCACAGCAGGGCCAAAGGTCTGGTACCAAGGAGTTGAATGTATTGAAGGAACATGGAGGAGCTAGTGTGTCTGGGGCAGAGTGAGTGAAGGGGAGAGTGGGGGGGTTGAGGGTAGGAAGTTGATGGGAATAAAGTGTGCAGGGCAGGGACTTGTGGGCCATGGGTAGGGCTTTGGATTTGATTCTAAGGAAGACAAGAAGCCTCACTGGGGGGAGAGAGAATGCAAGGTGTAAGCAGAGAAGGGCCATGACCTGGGTGCAAGTTGGTAATCTGTTTAGATGATGGCAATCGTAGGAGGAAGTAACATTTATTGAGCACTGACTGTGTGCCAGACAGTGGGCTATGGGCTTTCTGACTGATCCTTTTGGGCTCCAGTAATAACACCCTCTCTTGTTGTTCCTCAGCCCTAGGGCTGGCAGTGGCTTTCTGCTGGCTCTAATTCCAGGAGCTGCCTGGTCATCTCCAATTTGACTTTCAGTCTCTGTTCCCTGGACAACCAAGTCCCTGTATCAAATTCCCTCTGTTGAAAGACATAGAGTGGACTGATTTCTTTCTTTTTTTTTTTTTTTTTCTGGTTGAACGTCAGTGATTTTACAGGTAAGGAAACAAAGGCACAGAGAGGTTGAGTCACTTGCCCCAGGTCTCACAGCCAGCAGAGACAGAGTCAGGATTTGAACCCAGGCAGCCTGGGTCCAGCGTCCAAGCTTGTCAAGGTTGGTGGAAGTGGATGCAGACTGTTCTTGACACTCTTACTCCAGACTCCATTGCCCTGACTTGTCTCCCTGCCTCTGGCTCTAGGTGCTCTCCCGCCCTGGCTGTACAGCTGCCCGCCTGCGTAATCACCTCTGCTTCGGCCACTGCTCTTCTCTCTACGTCCCCAGCTCGGACCTCTCCCCTATTGTCCTCTGCAGTAGCTGTGTCCCCACTCGCAAGCGCTGGACATCTGTGGTCCTGTGGTGTCGAGTGGGCAGCCCAGCGTTCCGTCGGCAGGTGAAGATGTCCACCATGCTGGTTGAGGGGTGTCAATGCAGCCCGAAGTCATGAGCTGAACTCCATGGATGGACACACAGACATGCACACTGGGGAGGGAGACAGACAAAGTCACCGAGCTGGATGGTATACACTGGGTCAAGAGGCCAGGGATGCAGAGGCAGGCAGGCAGGCCAAGACCTTCTCTGCTCCTGGGGACCTTGGACTCAAGCCCAGCTATGGGGTGGAATACTAATAGTATAAAACCCAAACCCATTGCTGTTGAGTCAATTCTGACTCCTAACAATCCTATAGAACAGAGTAGAAGTACCCTATAGGGTTTCTAAGGTTGTAATCTTTGTGGAAGCAGATTGGCACATCTTTCTCCCAAGGAGCTGCTGGTGGGTTCAAATTGCCACTGTTTTGGTTAGCAGCCAAGCACTCAGCCACTGTGCTAACAAGACTCCTTTCTGTTCATATAGCATACCCTTATGGAGCTGTCACTGCCCCCCAGATTTGTGCTAAGCATTTCACATGTACTAACTCATGGAAGCCTCACTGCAACCCTATGAGATAGGGATGAATATCATCCTCTTTTTAAAGATGAGGAAACTGAGGCCCCAAAAAGCATCCTCACTCACTCACGGTCACACCACAGAAAATGGCAGAGCTGGGATTTGAACCCAGGCAGCCTGCCACTCACTCTTAACCAGTAGGTAGCACTGCCTCTCACAGAATGAGTCAAAGACACACTCCCAGTTGCAGGGAGGACAGTCAGCCTTATCCAGACCTGGAGACACAGTGATGACCTAAGGCAGGCAGGCAGGCAGATGCAGCTGGTAGGGTACAACATGGGTTCCTGATATCAAGGCAGGACCCACATGCTCTCAGCGGCCCCTTTCCTTGATGGCCCCACCCCACCCCCACTCAAGTCTCCACATAGCGCCATGTTCGGCGCCAAATTCCACAGGAACCATAAAGGTTGGCCGAGCCCAGCTGTGTGTGTGTGTGCCTGTTCCTCTGGTGGGGCTCCTTGAGAGGGGTGGGCAGAGTGGCTGTGGCAGGCACGGGCATCAAGGGGCGTGGGGTCTGCGGCTGGGCGCGGGAGGCCTGGCTCTGGGCGGCTGGAACCAGAGCCCTAGCAGATGGGCCCGTCTGGCACAGACGCAGGGACATGTGGTGCTGTCAGAGTTGCCTCCAAATGCCCCCCGGAGCGCAGGGCGGGGGCGGCTGGCTGGGCCCCCTCAGCCCTCTTCCTGCCTCAGGAAGGAAGGCCCCAGGTGAGGGGAACAGGAGGGGGGACCTGAGGAAACAGATGGGCCAGTGGGGCGTGAGAGCCCATGACCTCTGACCCCACAGGCCAGCATGGAGGGATGGGAACTGGCCAGGCAGGCCGCTCCCAAGGTCTTGCTCAAAGAGCCCTAGGGGGAGTCAAGAGGGGCCTGTGGGGGAGGGATCTCCACTCCCACCCCCCGTCTAGTTCAGCCCTGGCACCGTGGTCACCCCTGTCTCTGGCGGGCATGAGGTGCCTGTTCCCCCCTCAGCTGTGCCCACCTCCTGCTATCCAGGGGAGCCAGCTGGGAACCTTGGTGACAGGGGGCCCTGAAGTTCCTGCCCCCTCCTGAGCAGTGCCAGCCAGCCCCCACTCCCTGCCCCCCAGGCCCAGTAATGGGTGGGTAATGAGTGGTGGGGGATTGGAGGAGGGGCTGGGATGCAGGTGCCACGGGCGCTGGCACAGGGGCTGCTAATCAGGTTTGCCAACGCCATCTGTCACTGCTCGAGCATCTGGGGCTCAAGGTGACCCTGTCACCCTCAGTTACAATTATGAGTTTGGCATCTGTATTAAAGCCCGCCAGCCGGCCGGGCGGGGGAGAGTGGGGGTGGGCATGGGGGTGCACTGTGAGCTCCTTCCCAGGGGTCCTGTTCCCAGGGGCTGCATGGCTTCCAAGGCACAGGGCTTATCTGTGCTCAGAGGAGTGTGTGTGTGTGTGTGTGTATGTGCACGTACATGCATGCCTGTGCCTGTACATCAGTCCAAGCCTTCATGATTCTACGGATGTGTCTGTGTACAGGACTGAGAGTTGTGGGGTTTGATGTATCCCTGTGTGGTGGCTGTTCATCCCAGAGCTTGGGTGGGGATGGCTAGATGAGCATATGCCTGTGTGCAGAAAGAAGAAGGGATGGTAGTTCCTGTGTGTTTGGGTGATGGTGTCGGTCAGGGTATGTGTATGTGAGACCCTGTGTGTGTAGGGTTGTACTACATATATGGCTGTGGGGGTCTGTGAGGGTGTGTGATGCTGTACTTCTGATGGTCACAGGCTGTATGTCTGGGTGTGAATCTGTCAGATCTACTGGAGTTCTTCCTCTATATATGGGTGTCTTCACGCACACATGCGTGCATGGACATTCGTGTGTGTATGCAAACACACAGGGACAGGCCAGGAAGGGGGAGCAGCTGGGAGAGGGCTGTTGGTCCACACACTGTGTCCCTGTGGGCTCCTCTCTGGCCCCTGTTCTTTGTTTCTGCCCCACAGACACAGCTTAATCTGGGCTCTATGAAGGCAGGGGGCTGGGCCCTGGGCTGTGGATTTTTGGGAGCTGGGCTTTGGATTATGGGTTCTGGATTCTAGATTCTGAATTATAAGATCTAGATTTTTTTTTTTTTTTTTTTGAGTCTGGGATGTGAGTTCTTGAATCTGGGGTCTAGTTTTGGAATCTAGGGTCTAGGCTCTGATCCTGGGTGATTGGATGTGGGTCTGGATTTCAGATTCTGAATTCTAGGTCTGCATTCTCACTTCTGGACCCTGGATCTGGACATTCCCTGACGCTGTGCTGAGCTCTGGCCTGGGTCTGTTTCTTCTCCGCCCTCAGCACCAGGCCACTGGGCCACCATCTATCACAGATGGATGCAGAGACCAATCATGGCCACCAGGGGCCACCCTTGGTCCAGGTTTGGGTAGAGCTGACCTAGGCAGAAGGAGCTGGGGACTACTACCCTGGTTCGACCTGATCCAGCCCTTTGGGGAGACTGAGGGTGGGGCTTTACCTCTTTCTCTCCCCACCTCTACTTTGGCTGGTGTCTGGTGTCAGCCCCCACTGACTCAAATGTGAAGAACTGGACACAGCACCCCGCCCATGGGACAGGGCACCTGGTGACTGGCTTAGAGGCAGGGTGGAACTTGCTTGTGTGTTCCGTGAGGATGTCAGTGAGTCTATGAACACCTGTCCAGGTGTGAAGGTGCACCATGTGTCTGACAGTGGCCACATATGACACTATTCTTGGGGAAATGTGAACTCTGTGTTGGAGAGTCCCATGTCTGAATGTGACCATGTGTTTGACAAAGTCCATAATAGCTTATGTCCTCATGTGACAGTGCACCCATAGGGCTGTGTCTATAACTGTGAGGGGCCACTCTGATGTGCATAGGAGTCCCTGTGGGAGTCCTCATGACATGGGTGATATGAGTCTGCCTATGTCCCTGACTGTGAGTGTCCCTGCGTGTCATGAGTGCGTCTGCAGTGTGACCACATGAGCAAGGTGTCAGTGTGTCTAGGAAGGTATGAATCTCTGGGTGGGTGTGTCCTGGGGTGTCTGGGTCCCTGAGGGGATGGTGTGTTGTCAGCAGGGGTGTGCAGATGTATAGGGCAGAGGTCGTGTCTTGCGAATGTGTCCAACTAGGGAAAGCAAGTGGTCCAAAGGCAGGTGGAGAACGCCAGGCGTGACCAGCAGTAGGCAAGTGAGACTAGAGACTAGGAGCAGGCAGCTGGGGTCTGAGTTTCTTTCCCTGGAGTCCCTGATGTCTGGTTATTCCTGACCCTCCACCTCCCTGTGTCTATGGCTGGGTCTCCTTCCACCTCTCAGCGTCTCTGACTTTCTCCGGGCACAGAGGGGCTCTGGGGGTACTGGCTGACTGGTTCTGCCCACCTCCCACATCACCTCTTTCCTGGCTCTGCCTTTCCTTTCTCCTTCCGGGTCACAGTTTCTCTCCATCTCCAAGGACTCTCCCTCTCTCTCTGTCTCTCCCATCACTCTGGCTCCAACCTCTGTCTCTCTCTCCCAGCTTCTCAGCGTCACTCTTTCTCAGCTAGGGAGAGCTCTGTCCTTGTCACCTTATCTCTGCCTTTCCGTCAGGTCTTTCCTGTGTCTCTCCTTCCGTCCTATCTTCCTTTCAATGTGTCCTTTCTTCTCGTTTATGTGTCACCCTCTCTAAAATCGTTTTCGGTCTTGTTTCTGTCTTTCCCTGTCTCTCTCATCTCTCAGTTTCTCCCCAGCTCTCTCTCCATTTCCTTGTCTCTGCCCATTTCTCCCCCACCCCGTCTCTCCCCATCTCCCTGTCTCTCCCTATTTCTCCATCTCTTCACGTCGTCTCTCCCCATGTCTTTCCCTCCTGTCTCTGACTGCCCTGGTGGGTCCGGTGGGTCCAAAACAGCCGGGCCGGGGCGCCGAGGCAAACAATGCCTCATTCACGCGGCCCACCGGTGCCATGGCAACGCGCCCGCCCCGCCCTCCCCGCGCGCCGGCCGCGCGTGCCAGGAGAATGCCATGGTTACGTCAGGCGAATGCCCAGCCCCGCGCGCGCCTCAGCCCCTCGCGCTCTTGAAGTGGCCTGGCCGGCAGGGGGCGCCCGGACCGAGGCGCTGCCTGAAGTGAGGCGGTGCATCATCCTCCAATGAGGGCCCTTCAGCTGCTCAGTGCCTCGGTTTCCCCATCTGTAAAACGTCAGGGGTGGGCAGAGAAAGCTCCTGGGGGGGGTGTGTCTGTGATAGTGGATGATGGTGCTGTCTGGGGGTAGCTGTGTGTGTCTGCATTTGAGAGTCCGCAGAACTATATGCTTTGTGAAAGTGTGGGTCCATGTTTGCACGTTTGTGTGGGTGCTTTATGAGTGGTTGTAGTTTGGAAGTGACTGGATGCCTGTGTATTTGCAGATGTGTGTGTGATGGCCAGTGTCCACGAACTGTGGATGTGATGGTGTGTGTGTGTGTGTTTGTGGTAGTGTAATTGTGTGCCTCCATGTACATGTGCATGGTGTGTGTGTGTGTGTGTGTGTGGTTTGTGATTGCAATTGTGAGTTCAC